CCGACTCAAAAAAAAAAAAAAAGAAAAGAAAGTTGAGAGATTTTCCAGACATACGTACATATTAACATATATGCAGAATGGAAGACTAGAAAAACTGGCAACAAATCACAAATCATCAGTATCTATGGGAAAGCCACAGAAAGGAAAAAAGAAAATTGTTTTTCAAAGCTTTTTGGAGGGAAAAAAGCAAGAAAATTCAAATATTTCACATGAATTGTGAAAGAAACTAGAAAATGCATATACATGTTACATAAAGTCTATAATTTCTGTACAAGGTATAAGTTCTAGAGTTGGTGCCCTGGCTCTATCATCTTCTGGCTGTGTTCCCACAGGCAAGACACTAACCTTGTGCTCAGCTTCCTCATTTGTAAATGAGGCTAGCAATGATAATGACTACTTCATGATTTTTTTAGAGAATTTAGCCCATGATGTCTGTAGCATAATAAGTAGTCAATACATGTTAACTATTATATTATCATCAGTATGTTACCATTCTTTATAAATGCCACCCCTGTAGATAATATGCCTGACACAAAAATTATAAAAAAGCTCACATACTGCAAATCATAATTACACATGTATGTCCCCAGTGGAAAAATATGCATTATTTATAAACTAAGCATGTGTCACCATAACAAGAAATGGCTTAATGACTTCAATACACTTTCCTGGCTTCTGTTCCCAAAACTGTCACTGAAAGTCTTGCTATTGAAAGTGAAGTCTGAAGGTCAGCAGCACTGGCATGGCATGGGAGCTGGTTTCAAATGCAGAATTCTAGCCTCTGCCACTTTCGTGGCTATTGAATTAGCATCTGTGTTTTAACAAGATCCCCCAGGTGACTTAAGTGCACAGTAAAATATTAGAAGGACCTCAGAGAATAGCAAATACTACAGCACAAGGGTTTGAGAGGATGATTAATTTATATGACAAGTAGAATAATCAAAAGCACAAATTAACACACGATTAAAAACCCATCTTAGCAGATTAGCAAAGATGTTTTACATATATCAGTTACCAGTCATCCACATATCTAAGTGAGACGAATATGGGAAATATGGCCTCCGAACTACAGAGAAGTGAAGTGGTACCATTATATTGGACTGATAGGCCTAGGAAATGGTTTCAAATTTGTATTATAATTTCAGCTTATAGGGTTTTTTTAAGCATGTACTTAATTTCAGATAAGATTAGCTTTTCTCAGGCATATGATTATTTAGTAGGAAAATGTGGCTATCTGGTTACTACTTACTGTAGCAGATAAAAAAGTCTAGAGAATTAAGAAAAACTTAAAAACAGGTGTTCCTTGTTATCACAGATCACAGCATGAATGAATGCATCAAAGAATTAATTTAAATTGTGGGGCTTTTTTTTTTTTGCTGGGAGGAAATGCAATTTTCCTGTCAAAATGACATGTAATAGCACATTACTTCCTTTGTTTCGTGTTCACTTATATGGCACCGTCATGGTGGCAATACTTCATGGGAATTACATTGATGTTTTTTCCTTTCTTTTTTTTTTTTTTTTTTGGAGTTGGAGTCTCACTCTGCTGCCCAGGCTGGAGTACAGTGGTACGCTCACAGCCACCGCAACCTCGACCTGCTGGGCCCAGGCGATCCTTCTGCCTCAGCCTTTCAAGTAGCCAGAACTACAGGCGTTCACTATCACACCCGGCTTACTTTTTGATTTATTGTAGAGACGAGGTCTCACCATGTTGCCCAGGTTGGTCTCGAACCCCTGGGCTCAGGCAATCCTCTCATCTCGGCTCCCAAAGTGCTGCTGGGATTACAGGCGTGAGTCACCGTGCCCAGACTACATGAATGTTTCTAAAAGCCAATCTTAATATTCAACATTAAATATTATATTATTTTTTCTTTATTTCAATAGCTTTAGGGGACACAAATAATTTTTGGTCTGGGCTTTAAGAGTACCCATCACCCCCACCCAATAGGTGATTTTTCACCCCTCCACCCCTTTCCTTCCTCCTCCTTCTGAGTTTCCAGTGTCCATTATACTGTTCTCTATGTCTTTGCAGATCCCCCTTATAAGAAGATGTGGTGGTTGGTGTTCTGTTCCTGAGTTAGTTCACATAGGATGATGTTCTCCAATTCCATCCAAGTTGCTGCAAAAGGCATTATTTCATTCTTCTTGATAGCTGAATAGTATTCCACAGTGTATCTGTACATTTTCATTGTCCACTGATTGGCTGATGGGCATTTAGGTTGATTCCATATCTTTGCAATTGTGAATTGTGCTACAATGAACATGCAAGTGCAGGTATCTTTTTTTTTTAATATGAAGCCCTCCATTCCTTTGAGTAGATACCTAATAGTAGGATTGCTGGATCAAATGGTAGATCTACTTTTAGTTCTTTGCAAAATCTCCATACCAATTTCCATAGACATAGTACTAATCTACACTCCCACCAACAGTGTGTAAGCATTCCCTTTTCTCTGCATCTGCATCAGCATCTATTGTTTTGTGATTTTTTTTTTTTAATAATGGCCATTCTGACTGGTGTAAGGTGGTATCTCATTATGGTTTTGACTTGCATTTCCCTGATGATTAATGATGTTGAACTTTTTTTTTATATGTTTGTTGGTCATTTGTATATCTTATTTAGAGAAATGTCTGTTGATGTCATTTTACCCATTTTTTTTTTGCTGACTTGTTTGGGTTTTTCGAAGATACTGGATCATTTGTCAGATGTAGAGTTTGTGAATATCTTCTCTCATTATGTAGAGTGCCTATTTTCTCTGTTGATTATTTCTTTTTGCTGTGCAGAAACTTTTTAATTTAATTAAGTCCCACTTGTTTATTTTTGTTTTTGCTGCTTTTGGGGTTTTAGCCATAAATTCTTTGCCTGGATCGATGTCCAGAAGAATTTTTCTTCTAGGATTTTTATTTCAGGTCTGACATTCAAGTCTTCAATCCATCTTGCATTAATTTTAGTATATGAGGAGAGATAAGGATCAAGTTTCATTTTTCTGCATGTAGTTATCCAATTTTTCAAGCACCATTTGTTGAATAGTGTGTCATTTCTCCAGTGTATGTTTTTGTCTACTTTGTAAAAGACCAGTTGGTTGTGGGTAGTTGGGTTTAAATATGGATTCTCTGTTCTGTTCCATTGGTCCATGTGTCTGCTCTTGCACCCAGTACCAGATGTTTTGGTTATGACAGCCCTGTAGTATAATTTTAAGTCAGGCAGTGTGATGCCTCCAGTTTTGTTCTTTTTGTGTAAGATTGCTTTGGCTGTTCTGGCTTTGTTTGTTTGTTGTTTTTTGTTCCATATAAATTTTAGAATTTTTTTTCTAATTCTATGAAAAATGATGTTGGTAGTTTGAAAGGGATTGAGTTAAATCTGCATATTACTTTGAGTAATATGGTCATTTTTTAACAATGTTGATCCTTCCAATCCATAAGCATGGAATTTTTCTCCATTTGTTCGTGTCCTCTACAACTTCTTTCATCAGAGTTTTGTAGTTCTCCTTGTAAAGATCTTTTACCGCCTTGGTTAAATATATATTCCTAGGTATTTAGCTTTTTGGCTGCTAATGTAAATGGAATTGAGTTCTTGATTCAATTCTCAGCTTGGTCACTATTGGTGCATAGCAGTGCTACTGATTTGTGTGTGTTGATTTTGTATCCTGAAACTTTACTGAATTCATTTATCAAGTCCAGGAGTCTTTTGGAGGAGTCTTTAGAATTCTCTAGGTGTGAGATCATATCATCAGCATACAAGAGATAGTCTGATTTGCTCTTTTCCAATTTGGATGCTCTTTATTTTTTTTTTCTTGTCCGATTGCTCTAGTTAGGACTTCCAGTACTATGTTGAATAGGGGTGGTGAAAGTGGTCATCCTTGCCTTGTTTTAGTTCTGAGGGGTAACGTATTCCACTTCTCTCCATTTAGGATGACACTGATTGTGGGTTTGTTATATACAGTTTGTACTATATTGAAGAATGTTCCCTCTATGCCTATTTTGTTGAGGGATTTTATCATGAAGGGATACTGAATTTTAGTAAGTGCTTTTTCTGTGCCCATTGAAATGATCATATGATTTTTGTTTTTAATTCTGTTTATGTAGTGGATCTATGTTTATTGACTTGTGTATGTCAAACCACCTTTGCATCCCTGGGCCAAGACCCC